TTTTCTACAATTTCCTTCTTCAATTCAATGGTTATTTTCTTCAAAACCTTATTCTTGCCATTCTTGCTCTGCACTTTCTTTTTACTACCATGCTTGCTCTGCACTTTCTTTGGAGCCACGCTAAAAAGCACACCAAAAAGCTTCACAGCCAGTGTCTGTCTGCAACTGCGATCTTGCCTACAGGAAGCCACGACCACGTGTAAGAGCAGGGAAGATGGCCGTGGGTCATGTTTGCGAATGGAAGCAAAATTTTGCGAATGCTGCTGTTAGTGAACCGAATTGTTCGTGAACAGAAGCGTTCGTGAACCGAGGTATTACTGTATATACATAAGTCCAAACTTCGGGTTATACACATTTATCTTTGCAGGTGGTAGGAAACGAAATATTCCATTTCGACGTCAGCGTATGCAAATAGATCAGCCAGTTCCTCCTTCAGGAATTGGCACATATCCAGTTCCTCAGCCAGATGACCCATATATTGCAGATCTTCTTCAAGTGGCTGACAACAGGTGATTAATCATTAACAATATTTCAAGGGTCGTATCAATCATTGACACTAGGGGCGGGATGGGGAGGTTGTACAGTTTTAGAAAAAATGCACAATTCATACATATATAGTTATGTTTCCCTATATTTGGGTGACAAGCAGAACATTTCTACATAGATATTTACTTACCATATCATTTAGTAGATTAGATTGGAAGAGTATAGTGGAGACCTTATAATAGCTCATCTGCTTCCTTTTTCCCTTTTATATATCAAGTCTAGAAGTGATATAGTTTCTTTAATAAGTTGGGGTCTTGTTGGAGAGAAAAAGGGTTTTGGATTTTGTGAAACCATGTTTCTCTCAATCTTCCATCAGTTCATTTTTTCCCTGGTGATCTTCTTTTGCCACAAATTGTGGAGACTTCATTCTGTAATGCACAAACATGACAACGTAGGCCTATATATAACTCTGAGTCTCCTTACCAGGGAAGGATTCTAAAGTTCTAAGGAAAGCTTTTTTCATGAATATAGTTAAGAAGTAGCAGTCTATGTGTATGACAGAGACAAGATGAAGGTGGTTTATGTATGTATCAAATATTTCAGAATTCATGAGCTGCAGCTTGAAGTAGATGACTTGCAGGAAAAACTAGAGATAGCTGAACGTGAAATGAAAAATTACAGCAAACAGGTATATTAAGTTCTTAATATTTTCATCTATCTATTCTCTAATACCATCTATAGTTTCTGTAGTGTTGAAGGTGAGTTGTTTATTATTCAATTTTGTCCTCCCTCCCTCCCTCTCTCTCTCTCTCTGTCTCTCTCTCTTCCCCTCCCCCCCGCCTCCTATTGTCCTACCACAACAAACCTGTGAGGTGGGTTGGGCTGAGACAATATGATTGGCCCTAAGTCACCCAGCTGGCTTTCATACTTAAGGGAGGCCAGAACTCATAGTCTCTTGGTTTCCAGGCCAGCACTACACCAAACTTACTTTCATCTCTTAATAGAGATGAATCCATGCACAGATCATTCCATGCACAGAGCAGCTAGTTTCTTATGGTCTGTGTCCAGATTGAAATATGCTCATTTCTATCCCTGAACTGAAATGTGCAAGTCCTAGGCAGAAGGCGGGGAAAGAACTGAGAGGACAGCAGGAAATAGAATTTCAGCAATAACTGGGGGTGGTATGAAAAGAAAAAGGTGGTAACATTGGGGCTGGGAAGGCTGTTTGGGTTTTGGGTTCAAATGCACCATATTCAACTTTCCCAACTTTCCACAGTCCTTCTCTCCTTACTTTTTTTATGGTGCGCTTGAAGTCAAGGACCCTGGCAGCCACAAAGGGGAGGTAGAGAAAGGAAAACCCTGGGGAAATTAGTGTGGGCGAGTTCGTTGGATAGCTGCCACTACCAATGTTCTTGGCTTCAAGTGCCACATAATGTGTGTGATTACATCATGGGCATATGATTATAGTACTGACAGTGTTAACAAAAACAGCTATTTTTTTCTTCAAAGGTTGAGCTCCGAGACACTGAGATTGAACGTTTAGCACTAGCGCTAGATGGTGGTCGTTCTCATGATGTAATATCTCTGGAAGCCAGAAGCAAAAGTAATGAAAAGATTATTGCTCACCTAAATTTGCAGGTAACACAGTTGAGTCTCTTTCAGCTTATACACTTAGAGAACACTAAAGTATACAGATAGCTTTTGCTTAACGACCACAGTAGGGACCGGAAAATTGGTCATTAAGTGAATGTGACCAGACCCGATTTTATGATCATTTTTATGAAGATTGTTAAGCGAATCATGTGGTAGTTAAGCAAATCATGTAGTTAAGCAAATCCAGCTTCCCCAATTGATGTTTTTTGCCAGAATTTGCTTAATGACCACGTGATTTGCTTAATGACCACGTGATTCACTTAATAACCATTGTAAAAACGTTGCAAATCGTGATCATGTGACTGCAGGGGGTGGTGTGATGGTTTGTGACAGTCATACATGAGTACAGGTCATAAAGCACTTTTTCGGAGGCCATCGTAACTTTGAACTATTGTTGTACCTGTGTCCTAGAACCTTAAAATACGGATCAACTTAGTTGTGATCCAAAGTACAGTGAAATTTCCATTTTCTACCCCTTGATTGAATGGACTTAGCATGCAATGGGCACAATTTTCAAGTATCATTTTGCATAATGACAGCATTACAAAACAATGCAAATTAGGCCACACGTCAATTTACGTAATTTGTGGGATGATGACATCTTCGTACAAATGAATAACAGACACAATTAGTCCATTAAAATGAGATTTCACTGTAATTATTGACATTTCCTGGAGAATTGCTTTTGGTATCCTGGTTTAATGAGTGCATGCAAATTGTAGTTAGAGCCATTTTAATTATGTGCTTTATGCCCTTCCAGTTTTCTATATATCTGGAACATCTGTGACTCAAAGCCCATTTTATTTTAGTTAATATTTTCCATGATTGCTTTGTTCTTGAACATTAATAAACCAGTTAGTAATGTTGGCAAAAATGTTGCTTCTTCATTTATTTCATTGAAATGTCTGGGCTCTAAAATATAGCTTAAGTAATTGTGTATAACTTAAGAAGGTTTGTTTTGTCATCCATAGATTTAATGTGTTAATTTGTATTCTAAGGGCAGAAGGTATTGTGCTTGTTCATTATGGAAGATTCTTGAAGGAATTTCTAAATTTTGTTCAGGTGTATTTAACTGAAATGGATTATATGGTGTCAATATTTATAGGTTGAATTTCTACAGCAAACAAACAAAGAGCTTGAAAAGCGTATAGAAGATCTTTTGGATAGTAGGCAAAATGTGACTAGTGAGGTGGCTCATTTAAGTAACAAAAATGAAGAACTGTGTCAAGAATTGAGTGAAATTGATCATTTGGCCCAACAGTTGGAGAGGCATAAAGAAATAGTGCTTGAAACTGCAGATAAAGAAATTGGAGAGGCTAAGGTAAGAGAATTTTGTGAATTGCTAGAACATCAAGAATATGCTCCAATTCCTCATGAAAAGATTCCAAAGTTCATTTTCTTTCACAGAACATTTTTTGTCTTAAATCTTAAATGCTATAAAATTTTATGCAGAAGAGGGTTTGTATATTTTTACAGATTAAATGAAATTAATAATGTTAGGTTTAAGGATTTTGTGTAGTTCTGCATAACTGAATAAGAATTTTTATATTTTGCTGTTGGTTAGAATGTATATGACATTTTTCTAGATTTTATAAGTGGAAAAGGTCTGTCTGTTGTTAAAAGCCAATTAAGAGGTTCTTAAAATAATGAATAGGATTGGCATTTTAGAAAACCACTTAAAAATTACTTAATAGAATTGTGTGAAGTATTCAGAAAAGGTGCATCAAAAATGTATTAGTGTAAGCAGAGAACCTTTCATTGTAATGTTAAAGCAATCGCATCTGAAACATAGTCAGGTACCATTCGGCCATTGTTAATTCTACTCTTCTGGTGCAAACACCTTGAGAAGGCCTGCTGAGGGTCTCTTCCCCTTGCAGGGTCCGTGGAGGAGATGGCAGGCCTCTGTATTATAGAATTTTATGTTCCTGTAGGCTTGGAAGGCATCTTCCCTTCTTGTATTGAAGTAAACTGTGAAAACTTTCCTTTTCATTGAGTTTTCAGCCCCAGCTAATTGGTGCATAAGTGTTCCTCTATAGGTGAATATTTATATAGGAACCATTCAGCATACTTACGATAGTTCACATGTTTAAATGAGCACAAGTTTTTTAAATACAGGGGATCCCAGAAGCAACAGGACATTAAAAAAATAACAGTAAATCAGAAAAAATACTTAAATTTTATTTTAAAAATGTAATATCTATGCATGTGCAGGAAATAACAATAATAATAAATAATTGTGGTGACTGATATTTATTGCAGTGACTGCCCTAATACTTCTGGCACAGTTTGTGTAGAAATAAATAATATTCTGCTTCTTCAGTTTAAAATAGTTATTTATTTATAAAAATAATTAACATTTACAAATACTATTTCTTCATTAACAGGAAGAAATTAAAAAAAAACACAGTGAAATACAAGATCGTGAGGAGACTATAGCAAGGCTGAAGTTAGTAAGTAACATTGTGCATATTGAACTGAATTTAGTTTAGTCAATTGAGTACTTTTTAAACTTTTTTATACTTAGGCTTGAATTTAATACATGTTTGCTAAAGGTAATTATTAATAGTGTAAGAAAGCAAATCGGTATATTTATAACAATGCTGCTTTTTGATATTAACAGTGTTGTAGTGGATTTATATTAGTAGATTTTATAAGCCCAGTATAAATATTCTAAATATAAATACTACTGAAGATTCTTAGTCTACAATAAAACTAGTAGAGTTAGAATATCTTGCAGTATTTAGCTTAAAACTTTCAGTATTAGACTGATTTGACTAAAGTAATTTTGTGTATTTAGTTTTTCACTGAGGACAAAAATTAGCATATTATTGTTTGAATAATTTTTAAGTAGTAACAGCTTTTGATTAAGCATTTTCAGATAATAAAAGAGAAATGATAATGTTATGCTTGAGTAAGTTCTTCAGTCTTCTCAATCCTGGAATTAAAAATACTGGGGCTAAAAACGTTATCAGTCTCCTATTTTGGATGGGGTTGCATTTCCTCTGAGAGATCATTTGCAGCCTTGGTTTACTCCTGGATCCATTCTGTCACATTTTTTTTCATTTGGCCAGCTGCATTGTACTGTGTTGTACTGTATATTCTAGAACAAAATATGGTAACAAGACTATTATCCAAAACATATTTCATAGACAAAATAACACCAATTCTAAAAGAACTACACTGGGAGCCATTTGTTACCAATTGCATCTGAAGCTACCCCCATTTAAATTCTTTAATTGCTTAAGATTGCAGTACTTGAGGAGGACATCCCCAGTATATACTTGCCTACAGTCTGCAGCGCAGGAGCTCCTCATTGTTTCATAACTGGGATGAGTGCATTCTATGGGAATGTGGGAGAGGGCTTTCTCTATTGTGACACTGTGACCTTGGAATGCCCTTCCCTGGAGGCTAGGCTAGTGCTAACAATACATATCTTTCTGTATTTCTAAGGAAATCAGATTTTTTGGTCATGTGAATTTATTTTGACCTTGCCTTAGTCTCTTAATCACTTTTCTATTAATAATCCTTATTTGTTACTGTGCATTTTTAACTAATATATTCTTGACTTTATTTGTCTTTATTTTATCTTGTTTTTATGGATGGTTACTTGCCATGAGATCTTCTGGATATTGAACAGCCTATAAATAATATAAATTGGCTGACTGTCAGCTTATAAATAATATAAAATACATCAATAAAAAATAAATTGTATCTAAGTCAAATTTTATAGTTTCTCTGAAATACGATGAACGTTTGGTGCCTCTAACATGAATGTATGGAAATATTATGCAATTAAAAATTGGCTTCTATAAGGTACTTTTATTGTAGCCACAATTCTAAATTTTCCAATATTTGTGTCATATTAGGACTTGTCTTCATATCGCAGAGAAAAAGAAAGGTTGAGTGAAGAACTCTTTGGAAAAGCAGAGGAAAAACAAAATCTTGAGATACTGTTAAACCAGACTCAACTAGAAAAACACAGATTGGCCAAAAAAGTTGAAAACCTTGAAATTATAAGTAAGTATTTATATACTGTAATAACAAAGTATTCCCATTGGCTGTTATAGAAGGATTTCCAGCCCTAAATAAAATCTTGGGAAAAATTCTAATGAAGGAGAGTAAAGAACTTTTGCATAATTAATTGCTGATTTATTAAATAATTTTCCCCTAATTCTTTCAGATTTTGGTTCCTTTCCTGAGGAGAGCAGAATCCTTACCACAAATTGTTAAAGCAATATTATTTTGCAAACCTTAAAATAAATGTTTGGTTACTATATATTAAAATAGTATATTTATTTGCATCCTACAATTGACAAATAGTTGGCTTGCTAGCATTATAATTATCTAGAGAGTGGAAGATTTGCCGGTTACTTTCCATCTACTTATTCCATAGTAAAATATTAAATGTGCACTTCTTGAATGATTGTTTGGTTTTAGCTTTTTTATTTATTAATATCATTTAAACTTTGAAGTCTTTGCTATCGTTCACCTATTTAGAACTTGCCAACGTGCGAGTATTAGAGGCACCAAAGTATCTTATCTAACCCAGTATAACTATATTGAATGGTTCACTCAGCAGAAACTACGTTGCATTGGTAAAAGCAGGCTAGAAATATATTACTGTATTGAAAAATAATGCATGCCACGTTCGCAAATTCTGTTCTGGCTTTTATTTCTTTACTCATGTTGTAAATTGGGAATTTTGAGCTGTGTCCAGATGTTTCAGTCTAAATAGTCACAAATATATTATCAGATTGTCTTTGAATCAGCTATTTGTATTTCTGAGTGTTGTTTTTAGAGACAAATTGAAACATTAATCAAAGTTTGATTTAAACTCGGTTAGGGTTTTTCTTCATGAGGCTGCAAGTTTAGGGGCATAATTTTTTAATGGCCATCTTGATTCTCATATATGATTATACTGAAGAATGAAAAAGAAAATGACTAGGCACTTATAATGACTATTCATTTTTGGTAAAATATTATTTTGTACTTTCAATATTGTATTAAAATTTTGCTGCAATTTTGATCTGTAAGTATGTTTAAATGATCAGTTAATATATTAGTTGGCTAAAAGTCATCTTTATCAATTAAAAGTGTATACTCAGTTAACAGACTTAATAGTCTTAATAGCACAAATGTTCTTCAGTAATAGCAAAGAACTTATGAATTTGAACCCTGTTTTCCAAATTTTACTGCTTTCCCTGTCCTTTTGAGGAATTTTCATTAGAAATAGAAAATTGATGAAAGAGTTGCTCTTTATCATGTTCATAATGAATCTAGACTGCTTCAGCTGAAGACTGCATGTGTATAGAAATTTCATCCTTGCTGATTGTGTTCTGTTGCAGATCGGGAACTTGTCATAGAACTAGAGAGAATGAGGCTTGAGGGTGGTATAGCACTTGGAGACAAGTCACCTTCTCGCCTAGATGCATTTGTAAAGACCATAGAAGAAGACAGGGACTATTATAAGCGAGAACTAGAATGTCTCCAAAAAATATTTAAAAGAAGATCTAGCCCATTACTCAAATCTCCAGAAAAGGTAATGCCTACTTTGTTTAATATATCATATTTTAATGGTACCACATAAAGTCCAATTACTCCTCAAAATTATCTTTTACCTCTTAGCTTTATAAAGCTGCTGTCAGCCATCAGATATGGGTCAGACCATTCTTCCTCTAGCAGACTGATTATTTACTAGGAGGACGGTGCTTTCATATTTTGGCGGGGTGCTCGGTTTCATTTCTTGGCTCACTCCTTTTAGAGGTCCATTCCTCCTCTGCACTTACCTGCATCCAATTTCTTGCCACCCCTGACTATGAAGTCAAAAAGGAGATCTGGATCACAGCTGCCAATTACTGTCAGAGTTGTTGGCAGCCAGTAGAATAAAAAGGATTGTAGTAGAAATGAGGTAGTCAGGCAGTATCCTACACTATTTGGACATATTGACTGAATAATATACACTTACTTTAATAAGGGGAAAAAAACTAGGTTTTTTAAATTTATTTATTTATTTAACTTGTCCCCGCCCATCTCCCTA